AATGGGCATGTATAGTCCAAACACAAGCAACTCGACACAAACTGTGATGATGAGGTCTGAGACCATCCTGGGTCCTCATTAGAATCCTCATTAGAGCCAACCACCACTAATTCTGGGAAGTGAGGCTGAAGGAACCCTAAAAGAGAAAGCTCTTTCCCTTTCTATGGATTTGGACTTCAATGGATATAGGTTAAGACGGCTGTGGCCATTGTAACACAGTGAGGAAAATCTTTCAGATACAAGAGCAAGAACAGGAAGCAGAGAAAAGAGACAACAACAACAATAGCCCCAAATCAGAAAACAAAAAACTATACCTGATTTCATTATTTGAGACCCTACATCCAATCATAAATTAATTATATTAATTATAAAAAATAATCTTGAACTTTACAGTTGAGTCAATAAATTCTCCTCTGTGTCAACCAGTTCATAATCCTGTGGTTGTCATTTGCACAACAAAAAGGGGAATAATTTATATATCATCAAAATTTTCAATGGCCAGTATTTGGCAGAATGAATTATTTCTTTCTTCTATTTTGTACTCTTTCTCTGCCTTTACTCATATTTTAAATGATCCTTTCTTTAAACCCCTCTAGTGCTTTATATGTAGCATTAAATGGTAGAATTTCAGGGTTAGAGTAGATAAAGGGTAAGGAAATTAATATGTACTGAGATTCTCTGGAAAGTCACACTGCATATATATAAATGCTTGTTAAAAGTTCAGACACACGCAATTATGTTTAGAATTCCACATTATTGATTGAAATGCTTTTTTCTAACTTTTTTTAGTTGTAGATGGACACAATACATTTATTTTATTTATTTATATGTGGTGCTGAGGATTGAACCCAAGGCCTCACACACGCCAGGTAAGTGCTCTACCACTGAGCCACAGCCTCAGCCCAATTAAGATGCTTTTAAAAGAGATGTCATAGGAAGGAAAAATCGTTTTAAGTTTGGAACTGCATATTATTGTTCCCATTCTGAATGTAAAAATTGAATATTAATGAGAAAATAAATGAAGGATTTTGCAATCTAATGCCTCTTACTCTAGCTAAGAAAAAAAAGTAGAAAAAAAATAGGAGAAATGTATTACTGCATTTTTATACTCACACACTTTCTGGAAAGCAATTAAATTTCCTTGACACCTCAGTTTTTAGAAAGCAAAAGGTTAGAAAACACAATAAAATTGAACATAATTTCCAAAAAGTACTGGAAGTCATTGGACTGTGAGATATTTGAAATCATATCAAGAAGCAGGACTTATAGCCCTATGAGTTATGGAAAAGGAAATTGAATTGTGTTTTATTTTTAAAACACAACCACTAAAAAGATGTTTCCATAGTAACAAGGTCAATACCAGTGGCCATTACAGACCTTCCTCTTTTCTGATAGTGGGTTTAAAGATCTTTTTCAAATACCACTTTAAAGGCCCTATGAAAAATCTACAGCTTTTCTGATCATTCATCTGAACCAAAAATGAAGAAATCACACATGGTGGATTGAATTTCTCATGTTTTATGGATTATAAGCATTCATGGCTGCCATATTTTCAGAAAGAATCTTGCTTGACTAGCCAACCCCTGAACATGGGATTTAATTAGCCTGATCTTAAATAGGGACAAACAGAAGTTGTTTGCAGTAGTATTCAAACAGAAAGAAAAGGTGGCACAATATTTAAAAACACACTCCTTTAACATCTAAACATTGAGAGAGTTAAGTAAATAGCCCCTGTTATTAGAAAATTTCAAAGGTTCAGATTAAATATGATATCACTGCTAGAGGAAGATACTGTCCACATTTTGTTTATACTGCTGAATTTAAATAGCTCTTAGTCCACAAAATCAATTTATTTGACACCACCAGGATGTGGACTCTCCTTCCTCTTTTCTCTGTATCAAGCGACACTATTCATCTGATAGTCATTGTATATAGCTTTATCATCTTCATTAAATGTGAGCCCTTGAGAACAGAGATATTTTACTTAGTGTTCATGATAGTATCTCACATTTCATTTATATATGGAAATACTGAGAGATAGTGGTGAATGAATTGTAAAAAATAATCACACAACAGCAACTAAGATAACACAAAATTTCTGGTTTAATTTTAGAAATGATGTGTCAGTTGATATACTCATGGTTTTAATCTCTTTAAACCAAGAGCTTTTAATCCCTGTAAGCCTAGATCCTTGTTCACAGAATCTTCAACTGTTAAGTAATGAATTCAATTGCCTGTCTCCTAGGTTAGTTCTGTCAGAACCTCTGCAAGTGGGACCTGGAAACGACAGATTTTAAAGCTATTCAGGGAATTCTAATATGAAGCCAGAGGTGGAAATCACTGATTTACACTCTGCTTCTGGGGCACAATTAAGGATTAATTTCTTTACGCCCTAATTTAGCTACTTCCCCCCCCCCTTTAATTTTGCCTCAAAGTATTATGTATACAAAATATAAGGCTAGGCCTCAGTGGTAAGAGTGCTCACCTAACATGTGTGAGGCCCTGGTTTCAATTCCCAGTAGCAGAAGAAAAAAAATCTAAATATATGTCTTCTTGTTGTAATATGATTTGTTCCTTAGAATAATTTTTCACAATAAAATGTTTCAATTACAATGATTTGGTTTCATATAATTAAAATTTTAGCCAAATTATTATTTATTATATTCTGTTGAATGCTTTTTGTTGCCATAAATTTAGAATTTGAAAAGCAGAGTTGAATACAGAACCAATATAATAGATACTAAATAAATATCAGTAGAATTGAATATATGCTTTTGAACTCTTATAGCTCTTATAGATGCCTTTCTTGGACCTGTAATGCCTTTTACCCCCTTATCTATCTAGAAAAATTCCATTTTATCTTTCAAAATTCCCAGATCATATTTTCTTCCTCCCGGAATCTCCCCTAATCTCTTAAACACTCTCTCTCTCTCTCTCTCTCTCTCTCTCTCTCTCTCTCTCTCTCTCTCTCTCTCGGTGTTTCCTCTGCCCCTTTCATGGTTCTACTTGGTACTTATCACGTATTACTTTTATTTATTTTTCTTCTTTGCTTGTTTGTAAAATAAATCCCTTCTCCATAATTGACTGTGAACAGCTTGCATCAGGTACTGATTTATGCCTTTCTACTCTTTTTCTCTCAGAGAATGTTACAGTAACTGGAGACAACAGACACTCAATAGCATTTCACAATCTCTACTGTTAGGGACTGACTTGAATCCCCTCCAAATTCATGTCAAAGCTCTGACTCTGAGTGTGATGGCATTTAGAAAAGAGGACTTTGGAGGCAGTCAGGGTTAGATGTGGCTATGAGAGCTGGCCTTCATGATGGCGTTAACCCCCCATTAGCAGAGGCCACAGTGAACTTGTTCTTTCTCTCTGCCGTGTGAGAACAGAGAAGAGGAGGAAGACCCTCACCAGATTCCAAACTCACTGGATCTGATCTCTGACTTCTGCCCTCTGTTTAGGGAACTCATTCTATGGTGTTTTGTGATGGTCTGACCTAACTAACACGACTATGAATCAGGATTAAGTAGTTTGAAGAGAAAATTAATATCAACATGACTGAGAGTTATACTTTCTTTAAGTTTTCTAAAAGATAGGCATTTTATTTTGTAAAGCAAAGGCCATATTAAATATAATTGGACTATATATTTAATACTTTCTTCCAAATAAACTTGAGGTTTATTGTTGTTGTTGTTGTTTTTGCATTTTTCTGGTATACTAAGAATTTTTTCATAAATACATACAGTTGAAATGAAGTAATTTTGCAGAGCAACAATCAGTCCAATTACCTTGTGGCCTGCATTATCAATTAGAGCTAGTCAGCAGGTATTCTTTTCATTTTTTGTAATAGATACCACTCATTGAAGACTCAGTGCCCCTTGCACTGCTTCAAACATTATGTCTTAAATTTGTTTTACTTTGCCTGGTTTGGTGCAGACAGAATATTTAAGGTATCATGAAAACTCCCTAATGTATTATTTATTAATTCAATAAACATTTATTATGCATTGTAGAAATCCAACTCTGTTTAAAGACTATTTTAGTTGGTTTCATTCCAGCAAATTCTTGGGACTACAAATGTAAGTTACGTGGCCCTTACCTAGTGAACCTGTTCTATAAGTAAAGCATAAAAACTGTAGCTTAGGTTAGCAGTCACACACTTGAATTTCATGGATGAATAACATTTTTAACATTTGGGGAACTAATAGCAGTGTGCCAATATTTTACTTGACCAAATAATAACATTTAAAACAAATACCACTGCCAACTATCACCATTAGTTAACAAATGATGGAGCATTTATTTTTATTTTATTTTATTTTTATTTTTATTTTCTAGTACTAGGGATTGAACCCAGGGGTGCTTAACCTCTGAGCAACACCCTCATCCCTTTTTATTTTGAGACAGTCTCACTAAGTTACTTAGAGCCTTGCTAAGTTGCTAAAGCTGGCCTCAAACTTGTGCACCTCCTGCTTCAGCCATCCAAGTCACTGGAATTACAGGTGTATGCTGCCATGCCTCACTGATGGAGCATTTTAACACAAAATAATTAAAGAACATAACCTTAGAAGAGAATAAAAGGCAGTCTTGAAAATGACTACATTTAACTTAATAGGGTAAAACACTATATTCTTTATTCTCATTTTGGCTTAGACTGCCAAAACTTTGTTAAAAATAAATCCATGTATACTTTGTTCCTGTTTTCCATCATTCAAAATCCCTTTCTTATTCAAATTCTTAGGACTGGTCACTAAAATCTTCAGTAAATTTGTTTTAACCCCTTCAGCCTTGTAGGGTTCAACTGAATAATGCATGTTTACTTGTCTATACTTATTTTCTGTTAGTTTTTCAAACACTAAAGATAAATGGTGTTTCTGTTTAAGTTTATTTCTATATTTTCTTCATGTTTCTGATTATATTTCTGCATTGATAATATATCATTTAAACATCTATGTAAAGGCTATAAATCAAAGACTAACAAATGTAACAAGACTTACATGTGTGGACCCAGTGAAATTGCCCTTGTCATTACAATTCCAAGAATTACAACTGTTAAAATTGTAGAAATAAAGGAGATCTGCAAAGAAAAATGTAAAGCTTGTTAGTGTAGCATACAGATTATTTATTTTTAAAATATTGCATCTTTTTCCTTTTTACTTGGGTAAACTAATGCAGTTTCTTTTTTTTTTAAGTCTAATTCTTTAGTCATGTATATTCTTATATGCTAGTGTTGTTAACCTCAGGCATGTAACTTCTTATCAAATCACAGTTTGGTCCCTCACCTCCAAATAGATATTCAAGTACCAAATATGACTATTGTTATAATTTTGCAACATGGCTTTAAACATTTTCAGTGGCTTTCTGCATAAAATATAAAATTGTACTTTTTTTCCTTCTGGTTCTTAGTCTGTTCTGCTCCTTCGTTTTTGTGACTATTTTAACTGATTAAAATATCAACTGCTAAGAACAGAGCCCAGAGGAAGAGCATGAGAAAAAGATTCACATTAAACAGGAACGAGAGGTGGGAGGGAAAGGGAGAGAGAAGGGAAATTGCATGGAAATGGAAGGAGACCCTCATTGTTATACAAAATTACATATAAGAGGATGTGAGAGGAAAGGAAAAACAAAACAAAACAAGGGAGAGAAATGAATTACAGTAGATGGGGTAGAGAGAGAAGATGGGAGGGGAGGGGAGGGGAGGGGGGACAGTAGAGGATAGGAAAGGTAGCAGAATACAACAGTCACTAGTATACATATTGCCATATGTAAAAACGAGGATGTGTAACCCATGTGATACTGCAATCTGTATACGCGGTAAAAATGGGAGTTCATAACCCACTTGAATCTAATGTGTGAAATATGATATGTCAAGAGCTTTGTAATATTTTGAACAACCAATAAAAAAATTAAAAAAAATATCAACTGCTCTGTATGTATATCTGTTTATTGCAACAAAACTGTAGATGTCTTAATAGGAGCTATTTGTCTTAAGGCTGTATATTGTTTGCATTGGGTGTTGTTATTATTTGTCTTTCCCTTAAAGGACAGGTACTGGAGACCTTCAGGGACCCTATGGGTTTACAGGATAGTAACTGTATTGCCTCAAATCCACACTGCTAGATGGATAGACACACAAACAACATGAAAAAACAAGAGAACAAATTGCCCTACACAAACCAAGATGCTCCAATAATAGAATCCATTGACACTGCAGTAGAAGAAATGTCAGAGGTGTTTAGAATGTACATAGCTAAACTGATCTGCAATGTAAAGGATGATATAAGGAGTGAAATCAGAGTTAATATTAGGAGATGAAAGATCACTGCAATAAAGAGATTCTAAAAGAAATCAAGCAGAAATCCTCAAAATGAAGGGACAATAAACATCATTGGAGAAAAGATAGCCTATCCAAGAAATAATGTTGGGAAAACTGGAAATCCACCTGTAACAAAATGATATTAAATCCCTATCTTTCACCCTGAACAAAACTTAACTCAAAGTAGATCAAAGACTTAGGCACTAGAACAGAGACCCTATGCCTAATAGAAGAAAAAATAGGCTCAAATCTTCATCGTGTCAGCTTAGGAACTGACTTCCTTAACAAGACTCCTAAAGAGCAAGAAGTAAAATCAAGAATCAATAAATGGGATGGATTCAAACTAAGAAGCTTCTTTTCAGCAAAAGAAACAATCAAGATTGTGAAGAAAGAGCCTGCAGAATGGGAGAAAATCTTTACCACCTGCACCTCAGATCGAGCATTAATCTCCAGGATATATAAAAAACTCAAAAAACTTAACACCCCCCCCAAAATAATAACCCAATCAATAAATGGGCTAAAGAACTGAACAAACACTTCACAAAAGAAGAAATGCAATTGATCAGTAAACATATGAAAAATTGTTCAATATCTCTAGCAATTACAGAAACGCAAATCAAAACTACTCTAAGATTTCATCTCACTCCAGGCAGAATGGCAAATATCAAGAATACAAGCAAGCAACAATAAATGTTGGCAAGGATGTTGGGGGGAAAGGTATACTCACACATTGCTGGTGGGACTGCAAATTGGTGCAACCATTATGGAAGGCAGTATAAAGATTCCTCAGAAAACTTGAAATGAAATCACAATTTGACCCAGCGATTCCACTCCTTGATTTATACTCAAAGGACTTAAAATCAGCATAGCACAGTGACATAGCCATGTCAATGTTTATAGCAGCTCAACTCACAATAGCTGAACTATGAAACAAATCTAGGTGTCCTTCAACAGATGAATGGGCAAGGAAAATGTGGTATATATACAAAATGAATTATTATATCAGCCTTAAAGAAGAATGAAATTGTGCCATTTATGGGTAAATAGATGGAACTGGAGAATGTCATGCTAAGTGACATAAGCCAGTCCCAAAGATCAAAAAGCCAAATGTTTTCTTTGATATGTGGATGTTAATATAAAACAAGGGGAAAGGGTAGGGAAGAATAGAGGTACTTTGGATTAGACAGAGAAGGGAGGGGGCATGGGAATAGGAAGGATAGTAGAATGTATTGGACATTATTGTCCTATGTGCATATATGTTTACATCACCGGTATAACTCTACACCACGTACAACCAGAAGAATATTCCATTTATGTATGATGTGTCAAAATGCATTCTACTGTCATGTCTAACTAATTTGAACAAATAAAAAAATAATATATAGCTCATATATTGAAATAATATTTTGGATATATTGGGATAAATAAAATATTAAAATTTAAAAATGGAGGGAAATGTTCAAATATTAATAGTAGAATAAATATCAGTAGCTTTATTTTCATGAGGACTTTGAAAATTCACACACACACACACATACACACACACACATAAATCCCATTTTGGTACTTGTATTTATTTATTTCTGAATGACTGTTAAGGATAGAAGATATGGTGGAAAGAATACCTTTTTTTTCTCTTATTGGTGCATTATAGTTGTATACAATGGTGGGATTCTTTGTTAAATATTTGTACATCCGCACAATGTAACCAATATAACAACATAATTTGGCCAATATCATTCCCTTGCAGCTCCAGAATACTCTTGAATACTGTCTCTACCCTCACTTTTAAGTATAAGGAGAGAATTCATCACTGGGTATGAAAAGTAAAATTTTACTTTGAAAAGTATAATTCAATCAATTGTTGAAATAGAATATAAAATTATCATATAAATAGTCCTTTAAAATATTCTTCATCAGAATGCATGGAATCATGGAGACAGCACCAATGATATTTTGGGAAAAATATAAATATTCCTTGAGAGCAAGGGTATAAAATACAGTCAGAAAGTTTAGTTTATGCAAATGAGCTTATGTGATGAGTAGAAAAATTATGTGCTTGGTTTCCCTAGAAAGAGTTCAGTATTTATCTTTAGCAATAAGAATAAAACATTGGCCAAATTCTCAACAAGTGATGAATCAACACATTGACATTTAAATTTACTGAATGGAAAAAGGCAGAAAAGACATTATAATCTACAAATAAAAATATTTTGTGCCATTGAATGATTCATCCTTACTACTAGGTTAATTTATTTTATTTTTAAAATTTTAGCTAATACATGGAAACATAAAAGTTGTATGTATTAATGGGGTACAACACAATTTTCAATGTATCTATATATTGCATAATGTTCAAATCAGGTTAAATATAATTACCTCTTCAACCATTTCTCATTTCTTTGTGATGCTTAGTTTAGTTTTGAATTGTTTAAACATGGAACACTTTTTCAATAATTGAAACTTGCTTAAAATATAGTTCTTTATTATTTCTAAATTTAATACCTGTTGTCTGATACCACTTAGGGTATCTATTTTGAAAAAGAAACAGGAAGAATATATTTAGTTCACATTCATCAACTACTTAGCCATTGGTTTCCTCAAACAAGCTAATGATGCAACCATGGTTTATTCTAGCATAATCACAAAAACATTATAAGAAACTAAAAAGAGTACTGTACTTAAGAACTTTGCCAACTAGATGCTAGATCAACAAAATTAATGCTGGTAACAAGGTTCATTTCTACATCAATTTAATATGTAAAGCTTACCTTTCCAAGCTTTGCTATATCTCGGTACAAGGACAAAGGCAGAGTAAAGGTTACCGTGGAAAGCACAATAATGAAGTGACGACCAATAAATACATTCTCAGGATCAACTAAAATACAACAAATAATATTTAGTGTTTGGAGATACAAGTAGCACATTGGTCACACAACTAAATAGGCAAGCAGTTAATTATAAAAAAAATGACTGAAATAATATAAATTATCCCTAAATGAAAATGGTTTTAAACATATGTAAAAATAGAAATAAATCACAAAAACAAAATAACTTATGGGTATACCTAGGCCTGAAATGAATTTATAAAATTTAATATTCATATTATTTTGGTTATTCCCTAATCAGTTTCTCTGCTCTTCAAAGCAAATAGACTCATGGTCTCTGAATTATTCTTAATAACCATGATATGGTGAAAAGTTGAGCAGGAAGTGGGATCCTGGTGTATGTTGTAAAGGTCTACTTGAGAATACTGTAGCAACTTTTGTAACCATCTCACCCTGCAAATAATGAGAATGTCCCTCTCCTGGGTGAAAGACACACTTGTTTTATGTATATCCATAAAATGGAAAGCCCCTACAGAGGCCAATTATTGATACAACTATAGATCTAGACAAATCTAAAACACACTCTGCCAAGAAAAAGAAGGCAGTCTCAAAAGATACACGTGGTATGATGTCATTTACATGGCATTCTGAAGAAAAGCCAAAGACAGGGAGAGAAACCAAGTCAGTGGTTGCCAGGGGCTGGAGATGAGGGCGCTTTTCACTAGAGGGAGTTGGGCAGAACTTTGGAGGATGATGGAAAGGTTCTGTATTTTGTTGTAGCTGTGATTATATGACTATAAACATTCGTGAAAACTCACAGAATCTATCCTAAGGATTAATTTTATTGTATTAATTATAGCTTGATACAAATAATGGGGAAATTATTTTAGAAAAGATATAGTAAAAATAGGATGTGAAAAATGTTACCACAGAGCTGTGATATGAAACATAAGGAATTTAAAATGTAGACTATTCTAAGTATATGAAGAATGACAATGTTTTTAATTGGCTAAATAAAAACTATGTATAAAAATAGATCAAAAATTAGGATCAACATTGGTCAAGGGAACTGCAAGATATCTGAAGTAATCCAAGTCTTCCTCCTTCAAATATTTTATTTATATATTATAATGAAACACATTAACTATATATAATCATATAAAATAAAGCAATTTAATTCTTCAAAAGTCTTATTTTCACTTACCTCCAGGAATTCTTTGAAAAACTTTGCTCAAAGTATCTCCAGCTATTATGTTATAACTTATCATAGCTAAAAATATAATTAAAGTAATAGTCATTAATAAACCACCACACATCTCATCTTGAATATTTTCAATGTAATCAGTTATTACTTTCCAAGAATTGACATAATCCTACCTTTTAAAATATATATTGTAATTACTAATATTAGCCACCTTAAATTAACTATTCAACAGATTTATGGTAGAATATCAATTTATATTACAAAAAGATTTTCAATTTACAAATAGATTTTCCTCAGAACACCTTTAAATAATGAGTTCTGGTAGTCATTTAAAATTTAAAATGCAATTTATCTTGCTATTAAAGTTCACTTTCAAAACCTTTTTTCAGGAATACATGTACTGCTTAAAGTGAGGAATAATAATATTAAATGTTGAAGGCACCAAAATATTTCTTCAATTGAAATTGTAAGACATTTGGGAGAAATACAATGTTGACCTTTTGTGGAAACATATGCAGTTAGACATTTGGACAATAACTTTTGTGATAATGATTTAAAAAATGAAGTCTATTTGGGCATTGGTTTCTATTAACATTTTACCATTTAAGAAGTGCCAGGTAGGGGCTGAGTTTGTGGCTCAGTGGTAGAGCACTTGCCTGGCATGTGTGAGGCCCTAGGTTCGATCCTCAGCACCACATAAAAATAAATAAATAAAAATAAAGTTATTGTGTCCATCTACAACCAAAAATAATAAAGAAGAAAAAAAAAAGAAGTGCCAGGTAGCATTTTCACCATTGTCATAGAAATCTTAGATTGCATGTTTGTCTAGTACATCATTTTACAAATGCTTAGGGTTTCACAACAAAGAAAAAAATATACTGAGCCTTAGAAGAAATTTGTTATGTCTCTCATTCATTTCACTTTTAATTACAAAACATTCTATAGTTTTGCCAAATAAGAAAAGCCCAATCTTAACTAGATGAACATCAATGTCATTTTATTTTGGAAAAACACTCAGAGAATTGACCAAAAGGACAAGAAAATAAGGAGAAAATTAGTGAAGATGTAAACATTTAATTTGGAAAATATTTCAAATGCTAATTTTCTTTAATGATTCTTAAATGACTATTAAAATGTTTTTATTCAGAAGTAACTATTTAATACAAATCATTGTAGTATTCATCTTCATAATCATCTTACCTATAAATGGATATAAAAACTGTAGAACAGAGAGGAGGAGATACCCCGGAAAACCAAAGGTTTTGTTAACCAAAGACTGGTAGCTGTCTGTTCCAGAAAGAGCCCCTCCTTTTATCAACAAAATAAGGGAAAAGTCTGTGGCAAAAAAAAATAACAAACAAATGTCAAAATACATTTGATAAAAATAGTTTTTTTTGACTTATCACAGAGATAAAGGGAATTTTTTTAAAAAAGTTTAATGGTACAGCATTATCATGACTATATATATATATAATTACCTTTCATGAACTGTCATGTTTTTAGTGACATTTTTTAATCGGGCTGCATATGCACTTAACATATCCAGACAGTGAACTGGATAGAAGAGGGATACAGACTGGAATCAATGTGTCAGGATTCCATTTTACTTTTCCAACCAACAATGTAATCACTGTTACCATAATGTGACAACTCTTCAAGCAACAGAACACAAGGACTTAAGAGTTTCATACATAGTCAATGTGTAAATATTGAGAATGGACATGCTGTAGACATTTTAGAAAATAAATTTTAGGAGATTCAGAGAATTTGTTTTATAACAAAGTAACTTAATTTTTTATATATCATGGTTAAGAATATTTTAAAAATCCACATTTTAGGAATTCCAATTCCAATTTTAGAATCAAAGTTAAAAATATAAATTACATTTAAAACTTACTTTCTCTATTTAACTTGATTGATTGATTTTTATTTTATTTTTACTGAAGGACACTATCGCTTTATTGAGTACAAAGACATGTATAAGGTGTGATACTGGCTCTTTATTTTATTTCTTTTTATTTTTTTGGGTCACTGGAGATTGAAACCAGGGTTGCTACATCACCAGTCTTTCTTGTTATTTGTTTTGAGTGGGTTCTCATCTTGCTAAATTACCCAGGTGGTCCTATCTATCAGAACATGCTATCTTTCTGCTTCTATTTCCTTAATAGCTGGGATTACATGCATGGACCACCAGCGTGCCCCTGGTCTGGCACCCTTTAATCTCTCTCTCTTATATTTCCATCATGGCAATTTCTTTTTATCTTCTAAGTAATTTAGAAAAGTATTAGAAAACAAACTAGAAAATACAAATCACTGTGGTATGGTTTCCACCTTGATTTTCTACCCATAATTAAAGCTTCTTTCCACGAGATCAACAGTTTCCAAGTTGATGAATATAATTTCTTTTCTCCTCCCACTATCCACAATACCACTTGCTCTTTCTGATTTTTCCCCTCTTCTACTTATCACTTCCCTTGAACTCATCCATCTTGCCTCAATCTTTGTGACAGCACTTTCTCCTGGTTGTCCTCCTACCATTCTGGCATTTATACTGGTTTTCAACAGTTTCTTGACTCTGCTTCAAACCCTGTATCCCTGGGATTTTTGCTCATTCTTCAAGATGTCTTCCTGTGACCTTATCACATCCCTGGTTTCAATTTTCATGCACATGTTAGTAACACCTAAATTTGTTTTTCCCAGTTCAGTCTACATCTAGCTGCCTAATACAAGTCTTACCTTCAAGATCTCATAGGCATCTCAATATTAAAATGTCCAAATGCTACTCAGTGTATTTGTTCTGAAACTTGATTCCTCAACCATGCTTCTCCAAATGGTGAAAAATAACAGAAACTTGAGACTCCTCCTAAACTCTTCAGTATTCATTACTTGCTGTATAACTTTGGTCCCAAATCCAGTTAACTGTTGTATCATAAATACTGACTAATATCTCCTAATTGTTAACCTCTAACCTCCTTTATTATAGAGCTTTGGCCTTACAATTTCTTTCCTGGATTGCTGCAATAACCTCTTTACAGTTCTTCCATTCACCAAACTCGTCCCCAGTATAATTTTGACATCTCCCCTCCCCCAGATGGATCTAACCATAGTTTAAATTTAATCAGTCTTCTGCTTTAAACTCTCCAGAGATATCCACTAGTGCTTTGAATAAAAATAAAATTCTTTCATGGGCAGAAAAACCATATGTGTTTATCTGTGCAGCCCTTCTTGAATCTTTGTAAAGCAAAGCAATATGCCCATCTTGAAGAATGATATAAGGATCATGGAGTTTAAATGTCTAACACAATGTCTGATATGTTAAAGAGGTGTTTTAGTTATCATTTTTGCTGCTGTGACTAAAGGACCCAACCAAAACAAGTTGTAAAGGAGCAAAGATTTATTTAGGGGCTCCCAGTTTGAGAGGTCTCAGTCCATAGACAGCCATGTTCATTCCTCGGGCTAAAAGTGAGCCTGAACATCATGATGGAAGAGTATGGCAGAGGAAAGCAGTTCACATGATGATCGGAAAGCAGAGAGAGAGAGGTCTCTACTTGCCAGATACAAATATATGGCCCAAAGCTACACCCCAATTCCCACCTTCTCCAGCCACACCCTACCACTTCAGTTACCACTCAGTTAATTTCTAACAGGGGATTAATTCACTGGGTTAAGGCTCTCACAACCCAATCATTTCTCCTCTGGATATTCTTACATTGTCTCAACTGTGGACTTTTGAGGGACACCTCACATTCAAGCCACAACAAGAGGCTAACTAAATTAATGAAAAGTTGTGTTATTTTTATTTATTTTTAGCAGGATGCATATGGTGGTTGAAAAAAATCATTGTGGGGGTTCAATATTAGTGATAACAACTACAAAATGGTAGCCAATACTTTTAGAATGCTTTCTGCAAGCCAGTCCTTTTCCCAAAGATTTGCATATTAACTCATTTAATCCTCACAATCATGCTAAATTGGTGTTATTATTATTACGATTTGATAAATGAAAAAAGTGAAGCTTAGAAGTTTAGGTAAATTGCTGATTTCCCCATTGCTAGAAATGGAAGACTCAGGACTCAGGACGTGGTAGACTGTAACCAGAATCCATGCACTTGAATTAATATCCCAACTCTGTCACAAGTAACTGCAGACCTTGCATAAACCATTGTAATCTAGTGGAGTCACAATTTCTTCCTTCATAAAAGTAAGACATGAATACCTACCGCATGGGGACAGAAGGATTTAATATTGTGGTTTTATTATGCTCATCATAAAGCCAGTCCTCAGGAAACGGTAATGACTATCTTTACATGAGAGCAACCTCTCCAACTTCCTCTCTCTCCACTTAGGAACATCAACCCTACACTTTAGCCATACTGAATCACATTTCCATCTGCTTAGAGTACCCATCCATTTTCTTTACTAACTTACATTTTTCCATAAACACTCAGTGGACATCTCCTCCTTCTCAGAATATACTTATTCTATTGAGGCTATGTTAATCACCATGTATTTTCATGATGTGTTATAATTATGTGTTTTCTACCTGTCTAATACATTACATCACCAGCTCTTATAACAGCATGGATATCATTCATCACTGCTATACTGGGTGCAGTATCAATGCCCAGCACATTGATGATCCGTATACATTTGATAAAATTAATTAATTCAATATACTAGGGTTGCTAATTGTTCATCTATTTGATTCTCATTTAATGTGATAAATGACCTAGTAATGAGACTTTAAATTATCATTCATGCCTAAAGCATATTGCAATTAATTCTATTTCCTTTACTGAAAACCAGGAATGACTTCACTGAAGAGTTAAATGATGCCTTTCAGGCCAAAAGATAGGATTTTTCCAGGTAGAGAATAAAAGGAATGTCAGGCAGGGGGACTAGCATCAGGAAGGCAGTGTAAAAGCATATTTTACATATGGGGAATGAGATCGTCCAGAATTGCTAAAAGAGAAGGTCTGAATGTGACAGTATTAGTGACAGGTCATTAAGTAATTAGAAATGAGAGTAAAAGTACAGTGACCAAATCATGAAGGAGTCTAATTGCAATGATTTTTTGTTTTTGTTATTATTACAGGGTTGTGGAGAGTTGAAAACGGTACAGTAGCAGATATGAGGCTGTTTTAGAAAGATAACCCTTAAGCAATAAGCAGGACTCATCAGAAAGTAGACAGACACTAGAAGCACAAAAAACTGAATATCTACTTATTGGCCAAGGAAGAGAACCAATGAGGGGTTCAGTCACTGAGAGGAGGCAACCAATTTCACAGATGCTGTGAAGGTTTTGGGGAAAACTGTATGTTTGAGATGAGAACATTGAGAGTTTTATAAAAGTTCAAAATGTATTGCTTAAAGTTAACAATTTTTAAGAATTAAGTCCACAGAATATAAATGCTTTTGTCTGCTTATAAAATACAGGCTATACATATATTCTCTTAAAAGTTTAAGGTATTTCAAGTATCAATCACTATAATATTTTGATCCCCCTTTAAATATATTATAGGCACATTTAAAAATAAGCCATGAATGAATTAAAGTTGTTTAACAGGCAAATTTTCTTTTAAACCATTATGTATATGTGAACAATTATATTCTACATGTAGATTTTGCTTTCAAAGCCCAAGAAACAAAGTGAATCATAACTTATTAATTATTTGGCTTTTGTGTAATAATCCTTTATAAAAAATAATTCAAGTATTTGAATCATGCAAGTACATGAATAAGTTGGTAATTTCCACGAGCTTGGTAATATGTGATTTTGCAAAGGACAACTCATAGTCATTGTCATGGGTTTATAGGTATCATTATTTGAAAGTCACTTACATTATCATTTATTCATGTATCATATGATCTGATTTTAGTAAGCTGTTCATTCTCCTTAAGTCCTTAATTCTCAGGTGATATATATTGCTTGGCTTTTCTATCTACTGATTGACAGTGTATGTAAATGTTTACAGTGCATTTAAGCTACTGTAGGCCTGGGTAGAAATTGTTTGTCAGTGCTGATTGACTGGGAAACAGGAAATTAAAAAAAAATCCTTGAATGGGTTTTTCTAGTGTGATATGTGCTTTAATAAATGCAATCCAAATTTTACACACCAGCAAATCTTAATGAGCACAAAATTGTGAGTCCCCTGCCACCCATGTAATGAGTTTTAAGCTACAAACTAAGAGCTGTAGAATTGGAAGTAGTTTAGGTCTTGGGAGAGGGTAATGGGGAGAAGATGGCAGGGAGGAAAGGGGTCCAATAACTCTGCATCTTTGAATTTGCTATCTATTATTTGCTTTACTGCCTCTCAGTTCAAGGAAAAATAGCAGTATTAGGGGCTGGCCTTGGGAGTCTGAGATTTTATAAAGGATGGAATCTTGGTCAGAGCTTCCAGATGCAAAGCTGAGACAGAAGTTTGGGGGCAAGAGCTCCAGGAGGATTGGAGTAGAAGGACAAGATAGAGAAAACAAATCTGCAAGGATGTGTCCCTGCTTGAGACCAGCGCACCCCAGCCCTGTAGTTGTAGAACTATGGAGCTTCTACCATGTCACATATTGGACCTTGTGGAGGTAAAAGGGGACGCAGAGGCTGGCTTTTGGATTTCTGTCAGCTCTGGGCTGATGGCTATAGGACAGTAGTAGTTGGGGGTGTGGGTGAGAGTCATAATCTCACAGGAAGGTGAAACTCTTGAGTCCCAGGCCCACACTGAAGACAGGGTACAGTGAGTTTTTTGCACTAGCTAGTAGTAGGATACTAGGTCACCAAAGTGGTCACCACAGTAGTGATTATTACAGGGGGTGTCTATTTAGAACAGCTGCCTTTTTTTCTGTGATCCTAAAATGGAGAAAAGATGCTGTGTTTGTCAGAAGGTGAGCTGGTTGGATGACAGGCTGGGATAAAAACAACAGGAAGAGTAGATGATTATGAGTGATACAGCCTGCATTTAGATGGGGAGTGGCAAAACGGGGGCGTTAATGAACATGTTGCATGGAGAGGGGAGGAGAAGAGAAGGGATTTAGGAGCACCTTATTGCTTCATATAAAGGCAGTGGCAAGCACTGAGTAGGGGTTGAGTGGGAGGGGGGCAGTGGAGGTGAGAAACCCTGCTGATTGAACTCTGGGCTTCCAGATGGATCTGCACAAACACAGCTGACCCGGCTCTCATTCACAGGCACCTGCCCTCAAGTTTGGCTGCCTGAACTTTGAGAGCATCATCTTTTCTTAGCCTTAATCAATCTTCGAAATGACTTTCTCAACTATTGCTTTCTGGATGAAGTGACAGAGGCACATGAATAGGATTTAGGCTTGGTAATATATAATGTTCTTCTACTTCTTCTAATCTGTTTAAAGGATTAGGATGAAAAGTAAATCCCCTCAGACATAATGCTTAAATTCTTTAGGATCCTTTGATATGCTTCTTAATTAGTAAGGAAATTCAATTGCAGAGTATTATTTTGTGTGTAAAGGAATTATTGCACAATTTAAGTTGCAGCAATAGGCAATTATATAGCATTTTTACCTGTAATATATGAAACCCAGAATAAAAGCAATATTCCCAAAGGAAACCCAGCTTGCTTCATTGAATAAGGCAATCCTGGAAAAACACAAACACCCCAACCCTCACATTAATAAGACATGTAGAAATACAGAAATTTCCCTAATTCCTGTATATAATGTTAAGTTAAATTTATATATTTATGACATAGTTGTAAGCAATATACAGTCCTAAAATTGAATGGTAGTGTATTAATACTTATTTCAGAAAAAAAACTTTTAAGTTAGGGACATGTCAAGACAGCAAATTTATGAGGTGATAAAATAAGAATTAAAAAACATAAAATGAAAAATAGATGCCAGTTCTCACAAATAATGTGGGTGAGGATGACATATTCCTGGAATATATGGGTAGTAATGGCCCCAAACCCTTTCTTATATGGATAATAAGGAACAAAGAAGGGTTATAGGATATTAAGAAAGACTTACCCTGGAATCAAAATGCAGCAACCATATAGATGAAAGGGAAGAAAATGTGAATGCAAAAGTGTTTTTTATGAAGCTAAAGGAGATATATAAAATTATGTCTCATTTTTTGGAGAAAGTGAACTATTTTAGATTATGAAAAATAAAATATTCAAAACAAACATAATTTAAATGCTTATACCCAGATGTTTTATTTTCTGAAAAATATAATTTAAAAAGGCTGCTGAACATAATTAAGTAGTATTTTAAATGTTGCTGGCATGGGTTAACTTAAAGCATACACATCAGCAATTAACTCCAGAACTCTGCTACACAGAACTGCCATACCTCCATGGTACATGGAGGCAGAATTTTACATAAATTTTTGCCTCTACTTTCTTCTGCTTTATCTCAGATACCTCCAAATCATATATCATTTTAAATAAATGTCCATATATGGATGAAAGTAAAATAAAGAAGCATATCAACTTCAACTTGTGAAAAAGGAAGAAAAGTAACTCAAGACAGATAAGCATAAAATTTTCAGTAGATTAACCTATTAAAACTTTATAGTAAAAAGTTGTAATCTCAATGAATAATTCAGTTTGCACTATTTTGTTTTCTTTGCCCTTTCTGAAATGGAATGTTCTCAAACAATGAAAAGAATAATAAACACTGAAAATAATAACTGCTTTTTGTTACTATAATACAATGCACTTTTTCCCTTGCCTCAAAAACACTGGGAAAATATGAACTATTTCTTTATTTTAATTGATTATTTGGCTCCTCTTCTAATAACAATGAACAAACTGTGTTACTGATTAAATGATATTTAAAATGAACACATCACAAGTTTGCACTTTAAAATCTAACATCATTTAGACCGTTAAGGAAATATTGTATGGATTTAATTTTTCATGTTTTCACATTAAACTTTTCTACTTATAATATTTAAAAAATAATATTTAAAAAAAGGTTTGAAGGTGATTTGAGTAATGGTTGACACTTCATGAATAAGAAAGAAGTTAATCAGACAATATAATCAATTGATCAGGCAGCCTATTAAAAAAGAAGAAAGAAAGAAAAAGCCCAGGCTTGGTGGCATATGCCTATAATACTAGCAACTTCAGAGGCTAAGGCAGGAGGATTATAAATTTGAGGCCAGTCTCGGCAATGTAGCAAGGTCTTAAGCAAGAAAAAAAAAAAGAAAGTAAGAAAGAAAGAGAAAGAAAGAAAAGAACAAAGAAAAAAATTAAAAGGGCTGTGCTGTGCTGGGTATGTAGCTCAGTGGTAAAGGGGCCCTGGGTTCAACCCACAGTACCCACAGTACCCAAAACAAACAACAAAATTCAGCCCCTTGCTTGTGCAACTCCACCATGTATGTGGAGAATGCTATCAACTGTGGAAAGAGTGTGAATCTCAACTCCATCCTCAGGATAAAAGAGTTGGAGGCATATTTTTACAATGCGGGATAAAAATAAAGGAAGATTTTTATGGAAGAAAATTACAAATTTTCTTAGTTAACACTTTCTCCTTTAAAAAACAATCAATGAATACTAGCAGTATATTGAGTCTCAGATTTGATCTTTTTAATTTAAAACCCCAAACCAAACCAAACAGAACACAGAACACTTACCTATTATACCAGATCCTATAATCGAGTTCACAACATTAAAAACAGCAGCGGACTGACAAGATTTCCTTGTATGTTCGTGTTCAGAAACAAGGGTTTCTCTGTCATCTAGATCTCTCTATTTTAATAGATTAAAATGGTGATTAAACAAATATTTACTAGCTTGAAAAATTGGAAAATATCAGACAAATATCGAACGCAAAATTCTACCATGATACTAGTAGTAATAAGTAATATGAGAAACTATAATAAACTAATTATGAGGATAATAACGTATAACGTTTAATAGTAATTCAACGGAGCCTTGCAAACAACTCCATCCTCAAGTGTCAGTTTGCAGCTGCCCCAGCTGATCCTTGCAAATCCAGAGTACAGAGTCTGTGGGGAGCCAGCAATGAGATTGTGTGAAACAAAGAGGTTATTGAAAAGTACTTTCCAAGGAAGAAAGTCAGATTCTAAGTCAGATTAAGGAGAATAGTTTTCTCCTGCAGAATTTTTCACTAAACTAAATGAATGTAGCTGACCTGTTGTAGCATGAATGAAACCAGAGGAATTGGCTTCAGAGCCTGACCCAGTTGCCAGTTTTACCTGCAGCGGGATGAGGGGCGGCTGTCCCTGGTATCCCATTGCGCGGTGATCCTGAGCAAGTGGAAGGTTCTGGGGCTGTGCAGTAGGCTCTCGCCTGCCCAGCCTCCTCCACCGCCTTGCATACACACGAGGCACCCGAGCACCGAGCACCGGGAGGGGCTGCAGGGAGCCGGTTCACTGGCTGCCCAGACTGTCTTCACCCACTGCTGTGTTATAGACCTGAACTCTGGGTCCTCACAGTCCCGGGAGGAGGTTTCCCAGGGGAGTTTGCCCAGCCACAAGCACTCGCCTCCTGATAACGGGATGCTGCAGAAGTTTCTGACCTGGGCAGCCCTCTCCCCACCCACTCTGCATCTCTCTCCTCCTTCTCTCCCACAGGGATGACTGAGAGCTACTCTTAACGAAGCTGCAGAACACAACTTGTTCCGCTCATTGCCCTGCCCAGATTATAAGGTTATGATCTGATGCCCAGGTAAGAACGCAGTGGAGCATCTCCACTGCTCCATGGAGCATCTTTCCTGGTAGCTCTTCCTTCTCTCTACACCTCTTCTAGGGCAGAGATGGCAAACAAAAATGTAGGACTTTAATGGTAAGTGGAAATGGAAAAAAGGATTCATTAGAAAATAAATGGGGGGGCGGCAAAAAAGTTCCTAGAACTTTTAGCAAACTTGATTATTGTGCAAGTCTTGATCAAATGCTTCCTGGTAACTCTTCAGAAAAGGAGAAGTAAAGAAAAGGAGAATGGGTTGTTACTGGATTCAGGTAAGAAAACCAAGAAAGGGAAAGAGGGCTATCTGGGGACTGAAAAGGGAACATACCCAGATGTCTGGGCTAGCTCTGTTCACCTCTTTGTATTACACATGATGAAAATGAGGCCCAGAGTATTCAACCACACAGAGGCAGATTGCACAGAGTGGAGTTTCAGGGACAATGAGGGTGGTAATCACATACAAGTATTTAACAAAAAAAAGACTTTTTTCATACATATTTATTTAAAATTGTGAAAAATTAAAAACATGGAAAAATTAAAGAGATTTGTAAATGACACAAACTCTCTACTGTCAAATTAACAAATGCTAACACTTTGTCAGGGTCATGAAAGACACTGAGCCAGACTATCCAACCAAATTGCCCTCAAAATTTTGATCCACAAAAAATGTGGGTTAATAAATGTTTATTGTTTTTTGTAGACCACTAACGTTTGGGCTTATTTGTTACAAAGTAATATATATATATATATATATATATATATACACACACACACATATATACATATAGAAAGTAATATATGTATATTTTTCATATACAAAGTAATATATATGTATATATATACACATGTATGTATATATACACACCTAACAATATGTACATACATATGTACAAACATATAATAGAAATACATGATATTATAATATGTATGATAGTAATATATATATATACACACATACATATTTAACAGTGATTCTATTCATATGTTAATGATATTTCTTTAAAGGACCTTTCTTATAATTTCAAAAATATTATTATATAGTATAATTTCAAAAATATTGTTATGTAGTGTAATTTCAAAAGTGCCATGTTCTCAATGAGAAATTTTCAAGAAGAAAGAAAAGGACCCAGAAAATCACTAACAATCCTCCCATGCAGAGGTAAACACAGCTAATGTGTTAGAACCCTACAGTTTAGTCAGATTATAGAGTGTTTTTTTGAAGAGTAAGTGCATATTCACTTACAAAAACAAAAACAAAATCAGTTTTATTGAGTCTGCTTTAATCCCAGGGGCCATGGAAACCAGACTTTCAGGAATAGAGAGAGACTTAATTTGAGCTTTTTATAGGATTGTACAATTATATAGAGATATACTGAGCCCACATTGGAATGTTGCTTTTCCTCATTATTTGGTTGCAGTCCAGGCAAGTTGACATCAAAGAACACCTTGCCTTCTTAGAAACAATCAAAGGCGATTGTATCTGCATAGCAATTTGAATTTAGAAAGTTCTTCCTGACCGGTACTCTGTTCAAGTAGGTTCAAGTAGGGATGAAACTAAAGGGGATAACTTTCAATATACAACTTTATAAGAGTTTTTTTTCCCTTAATCTTGGAAAGGTGTCTGTAAGAGGAGCAATTTTGTATTGTTAAAAGAAAAAAAAACAGATGTTTAATATTTTTCACAAAATTAGGATGTTGGCTTACTGTTACAAATAGACGACTAGTATGCAGAGTTTCAAACAATATAAACCTTTCTCTTCTTAACTTTATAGGGATAGGATTCTCAGTCTTTGGAGAGTCTGGATTTTTGCTTAGATACTTTCAGCTAAATAATGAAAATATATCCTTTCTCTTCATGGATTAATCATTTTTCAAAGTCATTCTTGTAAATTTTCTGGGATTTTTATATTACAGTAAGTACTATTTTAGTCCTATTTCACCATGTTGTTATTATTATCAAAATTTTCAAGTATTTTGATATATTTTTATTGTATTGTTGGAACCACTATAGTGATATTCCTGGTTAGGAGTCAGGATGAGGATGGGGCACTGAAGAATAAAAATTAGGGCAACTGTGAACCTTGCCTTGCCCAAGCCCTTTTTAGACTTCTTGTTCCAGTGTAATTATAAATAGCATCTTTTTCATCCTCCAAAGTATCCTGGTTAGATGATAAGTACATTAGTTGGCTTTTCATTGTTGAAGCCAAAATATCTGACAAGAACAACTGAGAGGATGAAAATTTTATTTTGATTCATGGGTTCAGAGGTTTAGTCCATGGTGAGCTAAATTTTTAATGCCCTTATTTTATTTATTTATTTTTATGTGGTGCTGAGGAGGGAACCCAGTGCCTCACACATGCAAGGTGAAGAGGAG